TCACTCTCTTCTCATATTCTAACTCCCGCTCTTATGGTTCCTAAGGGGGAGGGGAAGGGGAGTGTACCCCAAAAAAAACCTTTAGTATTGGTGCCAACTAATACATTTAATGTATATGTAACCCTCACCATATCCCTTTATTGTATCTATATTCCTCTATTCTGATTATACCCAATCCTCAAGTGTTCACTAATGTGATAACTAAACAGTGATTCCTTTTATTACAACTTGATACCTTGTTCTTTCCTCCCCCCTTCCCTGTTTATAGTGATCCTTCATTTATTTTGTGTCCTACCTACTATTTAATAGCCTATTTTCTTTACCCTATGTGTGCTACTTTCCCCTTTCCCTTCTACCTCTTCTAAGTATCCTTGTGTACTCCCTTCTTAATCCCGTCTCCCTTTTCCCTTCCCTCTCCAAGGAACCATCTTCCTTCCTTTCTATCTTCCATTCATACAAGTCATATGCTGTATTTATCTAAACATCTTGTAATCATTTATATATGTTCTATTTTCCTATTTGGGCCATATATGCATTACCCTTTGATATTTTCCAATTGCTGTGTTTATCCTTCTTTTATCATTTTCTCAAATTCCTCTGATTGTCTAAATAATTCCCAATTCTCCCAAATCTTCTTATAGCTATCAGTCCTATCTGTATCCTTTGCACTTAGTTCCTCCATATACCTTATTTCTTCTATAATATTTGACCAATTTTCAATTGAGGGTGGGACTGTTAGTTTCCAGCCCCGTGATATACTTATTTTGGCGGCTACCAACATATATCTTAGAATATCATTTTTTATTATTTTTATTGGACCAGGTAACAATGTTAATAGTGCGGTTAGGGATCCTTTTCAGTATTTGTTGCCTCCACACGGCGATATATCTCAAACACTGACTCCCAAAATGGTTGTAACCTAGGACAACTCCACCAGATATGCATATACGTTCCCTCTTCAATTTCACATCTCCAGCACCTGTCAGACATCTCTGGATTTATGTGTTGGATCTCTTCTGGGCACCTGTACCATCTAGATATTACTTTATAATTTTTCTCTTGATGGAATGAAGACATTACTGAGCTATGTGTCATTTTAAATATTCTATTCCATTCCTTCTCTGATATTTCTCTCCTCATGTCTTGCTCCCATCTTTTCATATATTGTGTATGTCCTTTATCTTCCACCTCCCTCAGTATGCCATATACCACTGATAAAGTGTGTGTAATAGGTGTCTCTGTTATACATAGTTTCTCAAATGCCTTTAATGGCCTATCGAGGGAGTTAAGAGCCTCCTTTAAGTTCTTTGATGATGTTGGGGATTGTTGTTAATGGGGAGGTTATAAAGAAAAGTAAGTCATCTGCATATAGTGCCATTTTATGATGTTGTGTTACTAGATTAATACCTTTTATTGAGGCATTTTGTCTTATAGTAGCAGCTAATTGTTCCATCACTATAACATATATTAAGGGTGACAATGGGCATCCCTGCCGGGTTCCATTAAAAATTTGGAACGGGGCGGATAATTCCCCATTCACCCTTACTCTCGCAGTTGGATGTGTATATAATGCCATTATCTTAGTTACTAATGTCTCGCCCATTCCCACTTTCAGAAGAGATTCCCTAAGAAAGGTCCAATTTACTCTGTCAAATGCTTTTTCAGCATCAATTGACAGAAGACACATTGGTAGATTTTCTTTTTGAGCGAGTTCTATTAGATTGATAACCCAAGTTGTACTGTCTCTAGCCTCTCTTCCCTGAACGAATCCAGTTTGATCCATGTTAATTATTTTGGGGAGGACTTTTTTTAATCTGGCCGCCAATACTTTTGCGTATATCTTCAGATCAATATTCATTAGAGAGATTAGGCGATAGTGTCCGCATTCTGTTAGGTCTTTCCCTGGTTTAGGAAGCACAGATATATGTGCCTCCATTGTCTGTGTAGGAAAGGGGTTATTCTCTGTAACTGAGTTGCCGGTCAATGTAAAAATAGGTATTAACTGCTCTTCAAATTGTTTATAAAATCGGGCTGTGAACCCGCCTGGTCCAGGAGCCTTACTAATTTGTAGTGTGGATATTGCTTCTTTAATTTCCTTTTCTGAAAGTATCAAATTCATATTTTCTCTGTCCTCAGAATCTATTACAGGCAAACTTGCTTCTTTTATATAATTCTTTATTTTTTCTTTATGTTTATTTCTTGTCATATCCGCGTACTTCCCTCGTATTAAGTACAATGCTGCATCATATTTTTGAAATATTTCTGTTATCGAGGACGGAGAATGATTTACATTCCCCTCCCTATCTTTAATTCGTAATATATTAGTATTAAGGGTTCTTGGGTGTATTTTCCGAGCTAGTGACCTCCCGCTCTTGTTACCTACTTCATAGTATTGTTTTTTGTTTTTATCTCTATTGATTAGTGTTTGTTGGTCCAGAATATTCCGAATGTCCATTCTCACCTCATTTAATCGAGTAGAATTTTTTGTGGTTACATTCGTCTTATTCGTTGTCTCCAATTCTAATTTCTTAAATAATCCCTTCAATTTATTTGCCTTCTCTTTCTTGAATCTTGCTCCATGTTTAATAAATATACCTCTTACTACGCATTTTAAAGTTTCCCTCTGTATGGGGCGTGAAGTATTATCATTTTGATGATCTTTAATAGAGTTGTTTATAGTATGGATTATCTCTTTTTTACAATCTAGGTTTTTTTAGTAAGTTGTCATTTAGTCTCCAGGTTCCCATACCTCTATTTCTATTCTCAACTTTTATTTTTAAATACACTGGTGCATGGTCTGACCATAATATTGAGCCCATTTCTATCTCTGGGTCGTAGTCGAATAGTCGCTGATGGATCCAGATATGGTCAATCCGGCTATATGTGAACCTGAGAGAAATAAGTATAGTCCTTTTTTGTGGGGTCTAATACACGCAAACCGTCTACTAGTCTTATATTATTCATTTTATCTTTAAGACTCTTTAGTACCTCCCCCGAGGGGGAGGATTTACCCGTAGTATCGAGGCTTTTATCGAAAATTAGGTTCATATCACCCATCACCAACTTTGTACCTACCCCAAATTGTTCAAACCTACTCAGTATCCTAGTACAAAAACTATGTTGTCCCTTATTCGGTGCATATATGTTTGCCGGTGAATACGTTTGTTTGTAAAGAGAAAATTTGACAAACACAAATCTCCCCATCTCATCTATATTAGTGTCTATTACTTCAATCTGTGCATTTTTGTGGATTGCTATCGAAACTCCTCTTGCTTTTTTGTCTGGGTGTGTACTGTGATACATTTTTTGTAATTCCCATCTCTAATATCAGGGGTATCCCCTTTCTTAAAATGTGTTTCCTGTAAACATAAAATATATATATTTTTTTATGAAAGTGATATAAAACCTGTGAACGTTTCCATGGTGCATTAAATCCCCTTACATTATATGTACCTAGTGCTAAATTATTAATTTCCCAATTATAATTTCATCATTCATAACGCATTTTACATATGACATTTCCAATACATTCCCACTACCACATGCACATCCCATCTCATACATTATTCTCCATACATTTGTGCATCTCTTTTCACCTTGTATGTAGCACATTCCTTTAACGTCCTACATTAATCGTACAAGTAAGCCCTAGAAAAATTGGGCTCTATTGGAGTTGCTGTCGGCCGAGTGGCTGAACGCTGTGCCCTCGACCCGCCACAAACCCTTACACCCCAAACATTGCCCTTTTAGCCAATCTTATTTCAATTTCTATATAAATTATTCTTGCAATTTGTTATAAACATTATATATTTTTTTTTTTTTTAGGGCTCATTCACACCTATTCCGGTGCATTCCAGCACGATTACCTGCTGGAAAGCACTGGATCGCTATTCTGCTTTGCTGTATAATGTATTCCTGGGATTTGTAGTCCTCTATAGCTGATGGTATTCTGCATTGCTGTATAATGTTTTGCTGAGATTTGTAGTTCTCTATAGCTGGTGGTATTATTCTTGGAAAAGGTTATCATTGATAAGATCGCAGGTTCAAGTCCAGGCATGTGCGCGTAAAGTTTTTTTTAATTTTTAATAAACGAATTTCGGCAGGACTACCGCTAACGAATTTCGTCCGAAATTTAATTTCGGACCCGAAAAACGAAACGAAACTAATTTTTTTTGTTTCAAAACGAAACTAAACTATTTTTTTTTTTTTTTCAAAACGAAACTAAATGAATTTTTTGCTGGTGCACATGTCTACTGTGTATGTGTTTGTAAATATATATATATTGTCCCCTGTAATTAGGTGGCCGCCTTAGGCCACTTCTCGATTAGGCTCCTATGTTGGCTCCACCCCCAGATCTGGGCGGGGCTTGTTAGGGGTCATGTGATTGGGCTGCTCAGTCTAAAATGCCCGGGCCTATTTTTTGGCCCAGTCCGGCCCTGGTGCTAAAATAACATAGATCTATTTACCTGAAGATTCAAGATCCCTCCAGCCTGCCTCCCCCTCCCTGCAACATTGTAATCTTCCTCAGCATCTATATGTCTATACACTGTGTATAAACCTTGATGATTTATGGGACCTTAGACTGCTGTAGAGGAGGTGAGAGACACTGGAAGTTTTGTAAGGACTTCTTTTTTCTTACCTAGACAGAAAGGAGCAGTTAACCCTTGCACTGCGGCAGTAGCCCTACTGCAAAGGTTAATAAAACATTTCCTGGAGTTCTTCCTTAAGTGAAAAATAGAAAAAATGGTCTAGCCACCTGAGGTTAGTAGTGGAAAGTAGGGCCCATGAGTAAAATGGTTACATAAAGCAAAAATAGAAATTAGTTGTCACAATTTAATATACATAATTGCTGTGAAACAATTTTGATTTTAACAAACCCCAGAAGACTTTACTGTCAGAGGACAATATTTTTGCTATAAAAACGAACAACATTGTTTGTAGTGTTTTTATTTTGTAAACATAAGCCATGTATATTTATTTCAAATTTTATCGTTGTACAGTAAAGCCCAAAGCCCAACATCCCATACAACTCCCCATTAATGACTCCGGAGACATGGTGGCATCTTTCAGCCTTTTCAGCTTTTACCCAGAAGATATAAAGGTCACTTGGACATATGGACCAACCCAGGAGAAGAAACCATCACAGGAGACAATCAGTGAGAATCCAGATGGCACATTTACTGTCACCAGTCAGCGTACAATTCCTGGAAATACGAAGGATTGGCCGAAGCTATGGCCAGATACTTCGGCAGCTTCGTGAATCGACCCCTGAGTGTGTGAAACCAACATACCAGAGCCATCTATAGGACTGTCTTGATATTGCATTCTGACATTGCATTGTGTGTGTGTGTGTGAAGTTAACATACCAAATCAACTTGAGACTTTAATACTACTGAATCAAGATATTGCACTAGATACTTGTAGTGAAATTGCTCCTTATCAATAACCCTCTACTTACTAAGTTGGAATACTGAGTTTATCCGAGTACCTGACCTATTCTATAGAGTAGGGGAGTTTGGGGCGATGATGCCTTAACCTATCCTGTGTGAAGTGACTAGAAATGGGGATTCCGTAGCTGAGCTCCACCTCCCATCCTTAACAGGGATATTATACAGTCCCCGAATGCAGGAAGTGTTGTATATTACATTACTTCCTGCATTCAGTGTCACTCTCCAGCTAGAGAAGCTGATGAAGCCGATCTCTGCTTCATCAGCTTCTCTGGACTGTGACAATTTTATATAAATATTTTATAGATTTCCCATGGTGGCCAAAAAATAAAGATATAACGCCACTCATTCTGCAGTCACATCAGACGACCACAGTGAGGTGTACAATATCCGGCTATTTCTCACAAAATCTAAGAGTGACTTGGATAGAGAAGAAGGGAGAGTCTGAAACTGACTGTACACAGAGAGACATCTACAAAGTATCTGATATAAAACATGATAGAATGGCTGATAACTCCTATCAGTGCTTCCCGTCCCTTTCCTTCACACCGACATCAGTCACTGAGGATCTGGAGTTTATCTGCAGAGTGGAACATCCCAGCCTGGAACATCCAATAGAAGGAAGCACAGGACCACGAAGGATGAATTGTGAGTCTCTTAAAAAAAAAAACTTTATTAGTAGAGCTGGTCATACATCAGTAGAATTATGTTTGAAAAATGTTGTTTTTGTTTGATTTTCTGATAGTTAATGGGGTCAGTCAATGGAAGGGATGGAATTTTTGAACATTTCATTCAGGAAACACATTACAAAGTTTAATGTTAAAACGAAATGCAATTTTGAACGACATTCGTGACGTGTCTGACGCCATTATCGAATGTTAATATGAGATTGTTGTATGAACATACAAAAATCTACCAGTGTGTGGCCAACTCAACACAAAATTATAGCAAAGCTAATTTAATACATTTACAGAAGAGAATGTGATGAAAAAAGTATGATTTGCATATGCCAGGGAGGTATATACATTATAGCACTGGACTCCTTTTTAGGATTAGAATCTCCTACTTATAGAACTGCCTTCTGTTTCCAAGCTGTGTGACTTCACGGCCTTTGTTGAAAATGAAAATAATTCCCACTCTAGTTTTCACTGAGTGCAATATCAGGCTAGGCTCACACCTAAGCGATCTGTGACTGTGCAGCAATCATGCACAAAACTGCGCGGATTGCTGGGCATTCACAGAGTCGCCCACCACAGCTGATCGTGCTGGCGGTGCCATTATTTCCCACCGCAATTCTGCCTGTGCAATTAAACACGACTGTACCTAAAAAAAAACCTGCACGTCGTGTGTCGCAAAAAAAAGGTACTTGTACCTTTTTTTGCGATTGCCGTGCGAAAGGAACCCCACTGAAATCAATGGGGCCGTGTGGCAACCACTGCGTGCATTAGTATATGATTGCATGGTCCCGGGTGTCGCTTAGGTCTGAACCTAGCCTCAGTGTCTTATATTGGAGAGGAGAGAGCAACCTGAAGCCATTAGTAGTATTTCTCTATGCTGGTAATCAGATGCCTGAGGAATATTCCCCATACATACAATAAGGCCTCATTCATACTATGTGATTTGGGATTCCTGCGGCAGGAACCTACAAAATTCTGTGGCAAAAATCCCAAGTCGTTTGTTAGGTGCGGCAGCTGTCACCTGTTCAAGTTAATGATCAGATGACAGCGTTTGAAAGTGGTAGTTTGCAGGCACTCTGCATGTAATCATTGTGGCAGTGCATGGCAATGCCACTATGTAGTATGGCAAAATGGTCACCCAGGACTCTCAGCCAGAGGGGCTGAGCAATTCCAGGACACAAGTACTTTTACCAGGAAAGAGCTGGCTTTACAATTCTTTCCGGGTTTTCTAAATTATAACTGGGATCCTGGGAGATTTCTAAGAGAACAGGGAGGGATGAAATCTCCATTCCTGGGTCCGGGCTGTAGCCCTCGTTCACACCTGAACGTTTTGTGGCGCGTTCTACGCTCGACGAACGCTCTACAAAACGCTCAAAAATATAAATCCCATTGTATTCAATGGTCTCGTTCCCACCTTGGCGTATTTCCGCCCGTCCCTAACGCGCTACAAAACGTCCCACGCCTGAAAAGGTACAGGTACTACTTTGGGCCGTTTTGTTGCGCGTTTCCATTGGGATACAGCCAAGTAGCCTTCGGAAACGCGAGACGGTCGCGCGACTTTTTTACCGCGGATCGCGGTAAAAAAACCGCGCGACAGACGCGCATATGCAATACGCCTAGGTGTGAACGAGACCTTAGTGGAGACCAGCACCGAATGATGGTGCACCTGTGCACAGCCCTTATGAAAAGGATGCTGGTTCAGGTTCAGGGCTCCAGCTGGAAGACAAGGGAGGTGTCTGTCCAGGAGTCAGGAGGACTCCATCCTGGAACCAGCCTGTGTGGCACGTCAGCTAGATACAGCCTGTGTGGCACGTCAGCTAGATACAGCCTGTGTGGGAGAGGTTTTTAGTGATAATCTGAAGTCAGTGAGACTTGGAAAAACATTATTTTGCTGTACTTTGATGTTTGAAGACCTCTGCGAGGGAAACATCTGTGTGGACTTTTTTGTTTGAATTAATAAAAGTGGGCAAAGAAGCCCTTAAAAAGACGTGGTAAGCAATTGGACTCTGTCCTAAATGTGCTACCATTGGAAGCTAAATCTGACATCATATATGATACAATTACATAGATAACTATCCCTAGACGCACGGTAGTGATTTCCTGCCACAGGATCCCAAAACACACATTCACTGTCAGTGTGAATGTAGCCTAAAAGTTCATCGGCTTCTACTATTCATCGGCTTCTACTATTCATCGGCTTCTACTAATTTAAAGTAGATGTAAACCCAATCACTAAAACTTCATATAAGCTTTAAGGTCATTTCAAAAGCCATTTTCAATCTATTTCATCTGCACCTTCCATTATAATAATCCCTGGTGACCTTGCCATGAAGGCCCTTTATCAGACACCTCCAGTTAAAGGATGACAACCTTCTGTCCCTGAATAATGTGAAACCTCGCGCCACTACTCTAACCAAGTTAAGCAGCAGCTGAAATCTGTGTGGTCAGATATAACGTATGAAATTAGTGGTAAAAGCCGCGCCGTGTGAATGAGACCGCAAAGTGTCAGATATAGTAGATGCTGACCTTGGAGTAATGTGATACAATGTGTAAAAAGTGCAAAACAAAAAAGAAACGCATGTAAATAACATGCACCTTAGTAAGCGGCTTTTACCATTAATTTTCTGTCCCTGTTTTCCAACTCTGTTCCTGTGTTGTCACCTTGTTAGAAGGCACTTGGTGGAGACTACAAGTGCTCCTTTCAACACACTTTACAAAGACAAGGTCCACAGTGGTCACCATCAGGAAAATGCATGTAGACAAGAAGTGGCTGCAAAGAGGTTGCAGAAGCACTGAAATTCTGGATGGAAAATAGTGATAACAAACATCCAGAAAACTAGATGATGCTTACTAACCCTTATGGAGATGTCACACAAATGAAGTGACATAGAAAAGTGTCTCTTTTTGTTAAAATGAAATATATAAATGATTGGAAACTGCTATCCCACTATGACATCAGTGTGGGGATGAGATATATGCAGTGTTTCTCAGAGTGTGACAAGGAAAAAAAAGCAATCCCTATTCAATACACAGCCACAGCAGCCCTATTATTATACAAACCAACTTTAACAAATACCAAAGTAATAAACCAAATACTATACAAATAAATACTCTAAACGACTGTTGGTTTGAGAAGGGGTCTTTGGGTGCCCAACAGCCCAAATAAGGCCTCTCCTAAAAACTCCTCCCATGTCCCAAGCCGCACCCCAACCAGCTCGAGGACAATTACTACTCCCAGGTTCCAAGGGGCCAGGCCGCGCCCCCTACAAATCCTGACACCAACAGGGGGGAAGCACCCATACTAGCTGATGGCCCCCCATTTGTGTAAGCAGAACCACAAAATACAGGGAGGGCGGGTGGGACAACCTGTTTGCTCCGTCGATTTTCCAGAAAGAATGCCCCTCAGCCCTTGCAGTTCCTACCCATGCCGCTCCTCCCGGACACCAGACCCCAACGTCCAATCAGGTATGAACAGCTTTTCCAATGTTATTTTTGAACCCCTTCTCCCGGGACTATTCCTCCCCCCAGTCATGTAACCCCTCCGCTCAGTCTCTCTGGGTCTGTCTACATTTTTGAGTTGTCATCAGAAAAAGAGATGTTCCAGTGACATCGGTCTAAGAGTTGTCAGATTGCAGGATTGTGAACTGAAGCACCAAACTCCGTTTATTAGTTCACATACTTCTTTATTCATCATGAGGTTGAGGCGACAGTATAGAAATAGCCAAACAGTAGAAAGGCATCATGGCACACTCACAAACCAGCATGCAAAACAACTTGTCTCACCACTAAGGATAATAACAGAGGTTTGGATACACGTCTATTGTGTATCCAAACCTCTGTTATTAACCTCAGTGGTGAGACAAGTTGTTTTGCATGCTGGTTTGTGAGTGTGCCATGATGTCTACTGTTTTACTGTTCAAAGCCCATTTCATGTGCACCTTACTGTATAACTGGTAACAAATTGTTGAGTGCGTTTGTCATTTGTTTTGCTTAGTATAGAAATAGCCAACACGTTATGGGGGCTCATACACATATCCCCTTCATCAGGACTTACTAAGGGAGAACGTGTATCAGGAGTGAGATGGCCTGGAATTGGATATCACTTTGTCCAGGGTGAGAGAGCTCTTCAGCAGCTGATTTGGCAGTCTTAGTAAGCCCTGATGAGGAGGGTATTTGTATGAGCTCCCGAAATGTGTTGGCTATTTATATATTGTCCCCTCCTCCCTATATTCAATAAAGATGTATCTGGACTATTAAACGGTGTGCTTCTTTCTGCAATTTGACACCACAAACCAAGGAGACACTGGAGATCCTCTGGGATGTAGTAGCAGCATGTTAGTCAGATTACCTATATTAACCAGTTGCCGTCCGCCCGTTGTAAAAATACGGACGGACGGCACTGCTGCATTGGCAGGTTGCCGTCTCCAGACGGCATGTGCAGAAAAGACCCGTGCAATGCAAACACCCGTTACCGGGTGTTTCACATATAGACGATCGGTGGCTCTATAGCCTGCTGATCGTCTATATGTGCTCGTTTTTTCGGTCCGCCGCCGCTGCTGGCGCTTTTTTTGGTCCCCCCGTCTGCTGACACCCCCCCTCCTGACCCCTCACATTCAATCCCGGGATCCGCTGCCCCATCTGCGGCCCAGGACCGGCTAGGGAGGGTGTCAGGAGGAAGGGAGATCAGCTCCTTGCTGACCATCCTCCGGGCTGTGAATGCAGAAGTGATGTGTTCCGCATTCACCTGTCAGTCATCTGGCTGCTATAGCCAGAGAGAAGAAACTGATGAAGCAGATCTCTGCTCCATCAGCTTCTTTTAGGGTCCACAGGTGACATTAGGGGTCCTAGAGACCACCAATGTCTCGATAAAGAGGACCTGTCAGTGTGCCTTTGCTATTATATAGGGGGATTGTTACCCCCCTATATAATAGCAATAACAATAAGTGCAAAAAAATAAATATAAATTAAAAAAAAATAAGTCACATATAAAAAAAGTAAAAAAAACCCCCAAAAAATGTTTAACTCCCCCACCCCCACGTTTACGCAGATATAAACGTAAATATGCGTCCGGTGCACCAGCACGCGAAAACGACAATTGCGCTACACGCGTTACATATCACCGCGAACGTCGCAGTGAGAGCAATCATTTTAGGGCCATCAATCACTGATAACACTAAACTGATGAGCGGTAAAAGCTTTTAAAGCGTCGCCTGTGGCCAATTTTGGGTATTATCGTTTTTTGAGGTTTCGCGCGCGCGCACGCAATTTTAAGGCTTGGCATGTTTGGTGTCTTTTTATCCGACGCGACCCCGTCTTTTATATTTTACCAGAAAATTGGGTAATAATAAATGTTTTATCATTTAATATAGGGGGAAACAGTTTTTTTTTGTAAAATTTCGGTAATTTTTCCTAATTATAATAAAAAATAAAAACCCCAGTGGTGAATAAATACCACCAAAAGAAAGCTCTATCTGTCCCCCCAAAAATGGTATAAAATTCATTTCAGTACAGCGCTGCATGACGGAATAAATGTCAGTCCAATACCGCAGCGCTTAATACTGAAAAATGGCCGGGACAGGAAGGGGGTTTAACACCGCGGATGTCAACTGGTTAACTTTATTACATTCTTACTGGCCAGCCACATCAATAGGACAAACCTTGTGGGGCAAGTGCTTTTAATTTATGCCTTTCCAACTGTCTATGGGGGGAATACACATCCAATATCCTGTTGTGTCCCCACAAGAGGAAGTGGAGGGACACAGACTACAAGAAAAAAAAACTGGCAGGGGTGTTAACGCTTACATATTCTATCTAATAAACATATAAATAAATAAATACCATTTTTGGCTATACATACACTTTAAACAACAATTCCAGACAAAATATGGCCCATTAATTAAGCTTTTTAAGGAAAAAAGGACAATGTCAACACTGCTTATCTCTGAAAAACAATAGTGAACACAAAGGGGAGAATTTATCATTGTAGTCATATATTCTGCGACAATAAACCTGTCACAACACAGAATTTGGCTGCAATGTGCGACTGAATTATTATTCTAGTGTTATATAGGTTCATGAATGTGTAGTAGAACAGCAGGTCGCACGCTTATTCATTATGGCCGCAGAGAGCTTTTAGAAGTGCAGCAGAGAGTGGTGTATGAGAGAAGATTTGTGAGTCTGGGGAGAAGGAAGGGGACAACAGAGAGAGAAATGAATGAGGATGGGAGAGACAAGAGAGAAGATCTGGAAGATGGGGGTGGCATGAGACTAAGGGGTCTATTCACGAAGCTGCTGAAGGATCTAGCCGTAGCTTCGGACAATCCTTCGGCTAGCTTCGGACATTTTTTTTGCCCATTGGAATGCATTGCTAGTAAACTAGCATTGTATCCGCACTCTGCTGCAGTTCTACATCAGGTCCATCAGCAGAGGGCGGGTACAATGCTGGTTTACTATTGGCTATTGCAAATTGAAATAGCCAATAGCAATTAACCAATGCATTCCAATGGGCAAAAAATATTTATTTATTTTTCTATTCTGACACGGCTACGTGTCAGAATAAAGAAAAAAAAAAGAAAACGCAGTGTTTCTCTCCTGGGCGCCCGGGAGAGTTTTCTTTTTTTTTTGACGGCAGCAGAGCCGCCGGACATTAGAAAACTATTGGGCGGAGCTAGCTGTCACTGCTAGCTCCGCACAATCGTTTTCTATTTACTTTTTTTTTTACTTTTAAAACTATTTTTCTGTTCTGCTCGGTGCCTCTGAGGGATCGAGCAGAACAGCCGAGCCGAATGCCACTCAGCGGCATTCGGCTATTCACTCACTGCTGTTCGGCATCTATAAGAATAGACCGAGCAGCAGTGAGTAGGAGTCGAACTCCTTCTGCACTTCGGGTCGGCCGAACATGCTGAGCATGTTCAGTCGACCCGAAGCCATGCGAAGCAAGCCGATGTACGGCTGATTTCAGCCAATATACGGCTGAAGTCAGCCGTACCAGCCTGAAGTGAATAACCGAACAGTGTTCGGCTCACTTCACTTCAGGTCGTTCATTCACTCGGCTGCCTACGGCAGCTTAGTGAATAGACCCGTAAGGCTCCATTAACATATAGTGTTTTCGTTTCCCGCGCGGTTTTACGTGCGGAAGACCATGCAGCAAGGTGAACGCTAAAATCTTTCATTTTATAGCAGCGAACGTGCGGAATCCATTAGGTCACATACATCTTTATTCATCATGAGGGTGAGTGAACAGTATACAGTATAGAAATAGCCAACACGTTATGGGGTATCATACACATACACATATCCCCTTCATCAGGACTTACAAAGGGAGAATGCCGGCATATATTAGTTAGCCAATTTAAAGAATCACTTAAACTCCAAACTTTCTGCATTTATCATCAGTTAACACCGTACAACACTCTACTACTACAAGCTCTGTGTGGGATGTACAAGATGAGTCTCATTGCTGAATTCTGTATCTTCTGTATTCTGAATGTTTTGCAGATCTTCCATGGCGTCCACACATTGGAGATTTTACTTGCCTTCTCTTGGATGGGAAATATGAAATAATGTGCGAGATCTCCGGATATTTCCCTGATGATCTGACTGTGAGCTGGTATAAGAAGAATGAGGGGGCAGATGACTTTGTTCCTGTTGGTAATGACAATAAATACCAGACTGCAGTCAGTGAACCCCAGATACAGCCAGATCACACCTACAGCTGTACAGCCAGTCTGATGTTCACCCCAACACTGACAGAAGACCAGAGGTCAGAGTTCATCTGCAGGGTGCAGCACCCCAGTATGGAGGAGCCCATAGAGAGAAGAACAGATGCAATAAAAGAGTACACCCAACCTTCTGTTTGTATAATTTCATAGCACCCCGGTTGTGTTAGCATTACGCTCTAGGTTTCAAATCACAACAAGAATAGTATCTGCATGGAGTATACATATTTACTAGACTTTCCATAAACATCCTGGGAGGATGATTGACTTCCTTATCTGGTGTGTGTGGAGCGGTGTTTAGTAGGTTGGTGCTGTGTAAACAGTTACAGAAATGAAAATAAAAATTAAATATGCATTATATTTCAGAAAATAAAGCATGGTTTTATATATTCCATTTACTATCCCCTCCTCAGACCCTTGTTAATTAAAAGGGGATCGTTAACCCTGTCACTTCCACTATGAATGAGGGGTGGAGAGCTTAGAGAGAGCTCAGTTATAATATACACAGATTGCTTGAAAAACGCAGACACGGCCATTTCCATGGGGAGATGAAGAGGAAAGCTAACAAAAACCATAAGTTTCTGTGTTCATATACAGCAACTACGCACACCTGCTTCTTATACATTGTGCCAGCAAAGTGTACATTGCTGGCATATGTTGGGTTTTTTTTCAAATACCTCCGCAAAAGTGGAAATGGGCTTTAAAAACACCAAAAATCTGTAGAATAACAAATGTCAGCAGCTGCAATTTAGAATTTTTTTGGGGTAAAATATAAACGATGAGGTTGCGCCGAGGTCATAGATACCAAACAGCACAGCAATTATGGTACCTCTGGTGTCCAGAGGTGAAGATTAAAAAGCCTGTATAGGTTATGAATTAAGAGTTAACACTGAATGATGGACCTAGAATCTCACTCCGTGACACCTGCCACGTGTGGCCCAATACTCCAACTAGCATGTTTACCTTCACATGTAGGTGGGTGCAGGGTGCTTTCCAATATATTGGGGGCTTTATTGTTTCCTATTAAATTGAGAATCAGCGGTTACCATTCATTAATGAATGTCTCATTATTAAGGCCTCCATTAACGAAAGAGTTAAGCTTTTTCAGAATTGGGTGTCTGACAGTGAGAACAGAGCCGCACTTACTGCTCTCACTGACAGCTGGTATAGATCGGGAAATTCTGATGTATACTGGCTTTTTTCTTTTTCCTCGAAACTTTCAGCAATAGAAACATTTATGGCCCGTTCACACCAGATGCAGTGCGTTCTAGCCCGATTCTGGCCAGAACGCACTGCCTCGCATTGTAGCCGGCTCACTTTTTTGTGGGGCATGAGGGGGCGTGGCAGGCCATTGAAGTGAATGGCACCGTAGCCTTGCAATCCCGTGCGGCCGATCACATTGCGACCGGAGGGCGTGGCCACGGTGCAATTCACTTCAATGGCCAGCCACGCCCCCTCCTGCCCACAAAAAAGTGAGCCAGCCACGATGCGAGGCACTGCGTTCTGGCCAGAATGCACTGCCATTGGTGTGAACGGGCCCTAAGATACATGTTTTTATTGTTGATACAATGTTGCAGACTTTTGATCGTTGTTGGAATGATCAGAAAACCTTTATTGACATCTGATCCTGAAATGCTGCAGGATCAGTGTCACTAAGGTTATTACATAGTTACATAGTATTTGAGGTTGAATAAAGACACAGGTCCATCAAGTCCAACCTATATAGGATCATCTCATGCTTAGGAGTACTTGTACCCCTGTATATTACGGTCCCTTAGGAAATCGTCCAAATGTTTCTTGAACAATTCCACACTCTTAGCTGAAATCACTGCCTGCGGCCAAAAATTAACTAATTAAATTATCAAGCAGTAATAGTGAGATTAATTCACAATAACTGCTTGATATAATTAAATAAATACAAATGTAAAAAAAAATTAAAAAATAGTGAATAGTGTAAAAAAAATTAAAATAAATGTAACAAATGTTTATATTTAAATATATTTTTATACTATCGTTAACCACCTCCCATCCGCCGAATGTTCAGAAACGGCCGGACGGGTGTCTTCTGGATGCGGGTGGGCGTCTTTAAATGTCCTTCATGCCCGCGCATAAGCGGGAAACCACCAGAATTTGAAACAGCCAGCAATGGTTGTTTACATACAAGCAGTCCGGCGTCAGTAAAGACTCTCTGTGTGCCCCTGTGTGCATCTCTCTGTGTGCCCCCTTCCTTACCTCTCCTCTCCGCCAACATCCTCGCCGCCGTCCCCACGATCCCGGGTGTCCGATCCGGGACTGGCAATGTGGCTCCATGCACTGAGAATGGAGGGAGCTCAGTACATGATCTCCCTCCGCTCTCCTCCCCGGTCTCTGAATGCAGGAAGTGATGTTTACTACATCGCTTCTGCATTCCTCTGTCACTCTCCGGTACAGATACCGGAGAGAAGCTGATGAAGCAGATCTGTGCTTCATCAGCTTCTCTGGGGTCCTTAGGTGGCATTGGGGGTCTTAGAGACCCCTGATGTCTCCATAAAGGGGACCTGCCACTGTAATGTGATATCACATAGGGGGCTTCTTATTCCCCTATGTGATAAGTTTAAAAAAATTGGTGACAAAAAAAATAAAATGTACACGCACACACAAAAAAAAACACACATTTTTTTTTAAAGTCCCCCACCCCCACATATATGTACAGAAAAAGTTAGTTGCACCTACACGCAAAAATGACAATTGCGCCCATTACACGGTACTTGTTACATATCATTGCGCACGTCGGAGTGAGAGGAATAATTTCAGGGCCATAAATCACTGATAACACTAAACTGATGAGCGGTAAAAGCTTTTTAAGCATCGCCTATGGCCAATTTTGGGTGTGGTTGCTTTTTTGCTATTTCCCAGGACAAATATTTTATTTGTCCTAAGTGAGGCATTAGGTACACATATGTGATATAAATATATAGCCCTATCTGTCCTCTAAAAAACAATATATAATATGTGTGGGTGCACTTTGTAAGAAAGTATATGACTGACGTGGAAGAATCACAGAGCAAAAATGTCAAAAGTGTGTCAGTCATTTACGAACAGAAACTGAAAACAAGCTCAGTCATGGAGGGGTTAAAGAAGTTAATACACACTCCAAAAACATTTTTTTTTTTTAGTCTTTTTAAGGTCCACCAAGTCTCCCTACCTTACGAGAACTGTAGTGGATACTCATCCTGGGGTCCAGTGTGGGCCTCTGTGCTGTGATGGTGCTCCATGTGCATCGCTTGCACGCCCTGTAGAGGTGCCGGGAGCCAGAATGTGAGTCAGTCCAGTCCACGCTCCTCTACAGGACATGCGAGGGAGCTGCACAAGCAATGCGTGTATGGATGGAGCTCCCTCGCAGCCATAGCCCCGTCCTATCCCAACTCATGTTGACACTCAGTGCCAGGCAGCATATTTTGAATGGCTGCTCAGCTTGAGAACTGACAGACCTGCGCTAGGGGGAGGCCTCTCACCTAGAAAATGCATCGACCCACTGAACTCGGGGTTGTGACCCACCAGTTGAGAGCCAAGGCTTTAAAATATACCTTTACCATCTCTCTCCCACACTACAGTAACCCTCTCACGGACGGAAGTCATTGATGTCAGACTAGATTTAGCAGCAACAGTTAACTTCTATAACTATACTCCTATCCAAATATTTTTACTTTGTTTTTAAGAAATTAAGATTTTTATTCTGTATGGTAAATAAGCTTCCTGCTGTGTTGTTGTTTTTGGGTTTTTTTTTTTTATTAAACGTTGTGAAATGTACAAAATAAACAAAAAGTTTACCTTACATTCCCTGTCTTTTGTATTTTTATTTATTCATTATTTTGGTACACTCTGTATGTCACTTGCGGATGGGAAGGGGTTACATCTAGTTTACTCTGCTGGTAATGGAAGCACACGTTCCCTGGCTATATGAAGTAAACCTACCACCAGTGATGTCACACAAGAGGGGTGTGCAGGGGCAGTCATTTTGGTGTCACCCCCTATGAAAAGCAAAACAAATGACAAACGCACTCATCAATTCGTCACCAGCTTTACAGCAAGGTGCACACGGAATGGGCTTTAAACAGTAAAACAGCAAAAAGTTTTCCTGGCACACTCACAAGTCAGCATGTAAAACAACTTGTCTCACCACTAAGGATAATAACAGAGGTTTGGATACACGTCTTCTGCAGAGAATGTGAAAGCCGCGCCAAGGTGCCTCTTATAGTGCGGTCCTACCTCTAAACTATGAGAGTCTCCATCTTGGATCACATGGGGCAGAAGATAAAATTGGGTGCAGACTTGTCAGGAGGAAGCCCAACCTCCCTTAAAGGCACAGGAACGCACAAGGGATCCCGCACATCCCAATGGCAGCTGGGACCCCCCATGCATCACTGCACCAAATCAGACAAGCAAAACAAATGACAAATGCACTCAATTTATCTCCAAGATGGAGACTCTCATAGTATAGAGTTAGGACCGCACTATAAGAGGCACCTTGGCGCGGCTTTCACATTTTCTGCAGGAGACGTGTATCCAAAGCGTAATGATGTCACGTGTGTGTGTAATAACGTCACACGTGTGCGCAATGACGTGCCTCTGCCTACCACAAATGTGGGCAATTCAAACTAAGCACATGATGAAAGAATACACAATCAGAGGTTACCTGCGACAGGAAACCCAAACTCGGGGGTTTCAATAACGTTGACTGCTGAAGCCGAATTAAATGAGTAAATGTATTTATTGTAGAAGCATGCATGGGGAGAAATACAATACAGAGTATCGGGTTTAAAATTGCTTTGATTGGCTAAGGTCCTAACACAATTATACAGTATATGTTGTTGGGTGGGAACCTGACTATCTATATCAGTGATGGCGAACCTACGGCACGCGTGTCACAGATGGCACGCAGAGACCCCTCTGGTGGCACGTGAGCCTAGGTGCCGGTTGCCGGGGCCCGCACACTCCAGGTTCTCACCTGGGGTGCTCTGCGCAGGCCTCCACTGTTCCACGGGTCTCCAAGTCACATAACAGTATTGAAGATGGTGGCAGCCACCTTTAAACCTGTAAGGTGCCCAGATCCTATTTAATATATTGCAGAACAAGCAATATATTGAATGGAAATAATCCCGTGGTGGTCCAGGGGAGGATCAGTGTGATCTCTATCTCTGGCTGATGCAGACCATACTGATCGCTCCTTCGTAGTGCTGTTGCTCACAGGCAGGGAGCGATTAGTATGGTCTGCATCAGTCAGAGATAGAGATCACACTGATCCTCCACTGGACCACCAGGATAGTCCCCAAGTGCCCCACTGGACCCCAGGGATGCCGTCCCCTCCCTGCAAAACAGGTAAGCAGGAGAGGGGGACATTTTCAATTCATAATTTTTATTGTTAATAGTTTTGTGTGTGTTTTAATGAAGCTCTGTGTGTGTTTTCATTAAGTGTGTGAGCTGTGTGTGTTTTTATTAGGTGTGTGATGTGTGTGTTCTTGTAATGCGTGTGTGATATGTGTGTAAAATGGCTGCTCCAATTTCCCCTTCACCTTTTATAGTTAGGATCCTGCTGAACCGGTGAGTGTTAGTAGCATCACACTCCTACTTTTTAGTTTGTGTACATTGGGGGGACCTTATCAAAACTGGCATGGCAACCAATCAGCTTCTCTCTTCAGTTTGCTCAGTTGGGATTTGAAAATGAGAGAGAGAAGCTGATTGGTTGCCATGCAGATCCGCTCCAGATTTTGTCTGCTCCAGTTTTGATAAATTCCCCCCAATGTATACGAACTGTAAAAAGTAGGGGTGTAATGCTACTATCACTCACCAGTTCAGCAGGATCCTAACTCATAATATCCAAATTATATATTTGTGGCTGACCCATTATGTGCGCCCAGGGCTTTTTAGGTGCCAAACTACAACATGGGCAATATATTATAACATTATATATGATATATTTAAAACATTAATGTCTTAAATATATCAAGCATGAAAGTGTTAAAATCCCAAAAGACGAGGAGTATAGTCCATGTGACTAGCTTATTGCTTTCCCCTCATACGGGGGTACCTCCATGGGCCACTCCTGATTACTTCAGGAAATGTTAAAAGATGTTGGATTTTTTGGGTGATGTTTTCATTTATCATTATGAATATGCTGAGTGGCCCAATTTTTTATGCGTTTTGCGTTGTGCTTCCTCAGGATGGAAGGTAGTTTCAAAGCCCGGGAAACACGGCGGGGGTGTCGGGGTCCATTCACCGGCTCATAAAAACCATCTGGCGGCCGCTGAGCCGCCATAATTTCTTCTACTGTAAAGCCGACTTTACAAGTTTAAACAGCGTCCCGGTGGTAAAAGCCGCCAGGAGACTGTTTAAACAGCCCCGATGCCAGTGACGTATACTGTACGTCACTGGTCATGAAGAGGTTAAACATGCTTGGTATAAGGAGATCCTCAGATATGACTCAAATAAGTTGAAAGAAAAGTATAAAAAAGGGGCAGACTCAATGGACCACTTGGTCATTTTCTATTATCTAGGTCTGTTTCTGTGGTTACTAAGAGACAGTACAGTATAACCATCAGGTTACGGTGAGAGGGGACTTAAGGAAATAAGCCCTCCATCCAAAACAATGCGCAGCACAGCAAAGCTTTCCTGCAACAGAAGGTATTCAGGACTCATTCTATATCTCATGCCATGAACACCTGCTGTATATGTTCGGCTTTGTTGTACTTTCTAAGTGAAAGTGAAAGTATGTGCAGATGATTCTCCTGCTTCACCATGATGCTCGTACGATTTCTGCTCCTTCTTTGTCTGCAGAAAACAGGTAATTATACGAAGAATCTAGTCTGCCTATTATGTAGAGTCAGAGAGGGGAAGATAGACAAATATGAGAATGTCCTTTTAGTGATACATTGTAGTAATGAGAGGACATGGGGGGGGGGAGGGTTCAGTTTGCTCTCCCTAATCTGCAGCTGAGCTGATCACACGGACAGCTTTCTACATATAGGACACTAGAAAATAAAACAAATGTAACCATTTAATTGTTTCGTGTTCACACCACGGTGGATATGTCCGCGTTGAACCGCCAACATGAACAATCCCATACATTCCTATGGAGACCGTTCAAGCAACCGCAAGGCTGCACCCGATCCAAACCGCCCATAATGTTCCCTGAGCTACTTTTTTTCATGCTGATTAGCGCATTTAACATATAGATTTCTATGAAAACGCACTGATCAGGGTGTTTTTAATCCGTGTTTCAATGCTGAAACGCGATTGAAAGCACTCAAAAACGCCCTTTCAAAAATCGTGCATCAACCGCGCTGAAGCGCTTCCGCCCTGGTGTGAATGGGGCCTTAAAGAGGAACTTTACCCAAATCTTCAAAATAATAACAAACACACCGTCAGAAATGTTCAGTGATGACAATCTGCAAACACATATTTCTACATAATTGCCGGCTTTGTATTCTTTGCATATCTTATTTCTCTTTTCCTCCCCAATCTTCTCACAGTGGCCATTTTTACTAAGGGCAGATTAACCGCCTGAGTGACCGAGGCCTTTTTTTTTTTCGTTTTTTGTACCCATGTTATAATCCACATTTTAGGCCTGAGTTTGAAATTAGTTCAAACCCCCCAACATTATATATTTTCTGAAAGCCAAGACCCTGTAGAATAAAATGTTGGCAGTTTAAAAAAAAAATTTTGCACAATAGTAGTGCAATGTATTATCAAAAACAAAATTGTAGTGAAAATGTCCTTAAATGCCCCAAAACACAATAAAATTCCCTTTTATAAAAAAAATTAGGTTACAACGACTAATTAGATACCCAACATGCCTAGGTTAAAAATTGTGTGCGTGAAACTAACCCTAACCCTGGTCTTCAGGAGCCCAACGCTGACAGCTATAAGGTGTCTGTACCACATGTGTGGATATAATAGATGGGAAGGTTCCTGACACTCATTAGAACTGAAGAAGTGGTTTGGAGAACCTGCAAAACATCTTTAATATTACAGAACAAGTCCAGCTGAATGAGACCAATTACTATTAGATAGGCAAATCATTCTCATTGGTTATTTGCTCTTTTCACCAACACTATCTAGGATGAGACTTTAAGGCCCGGTTCACACCTGGGCGTTTTGTAGCGCGTTCCTACGCTCTGTAAAACGCTCAAACACCGAAATCCCATTATTTCCTATGGGTATGGTTCACACCTGGGCCTATTACAGGCCGTATGAACGCGCTACAAAACGCCCTACGCCCAAAGAAGTACAGGAGCTTCTTTGGGGCGTTTTTGTCGCGTTTCCATTGGGATACAGCCAAGTAGCCCTCGGAAACGCGCGTTTGTCGCGCGTGTTTTATAGCGAATCGCGCCACACGAAACGTGCGACAAACGCTCATATTCGATAGGTCTAGGTGTGAACCCAGCCTACATCTACAATTCCGGCTTATTCAGACCTGCGCTTCGAGGTGCTAAAAATGCGCATGTGTTGCAGTGCACTGACACGGTGCATTGGGGTGCCATTTAAATTGAAGGGTACATTTTGCCAGGAATCATGCGTTACCATGCACTGAGGTAACATGTTTTCACCATGCATTACTACAACGCACAGCTCTGAACTTGGCCATGAAGTAGATCCTAACCCAATTGTTAACTAATATATAACCTTTAATGTACTATTGTAGATTTAAAAGGCATTTTCATTTTTTTAAATATGCATCTCACAAATAAAATAACACCCGATGATCTTGCCATAACGGTTGCTCAGGCTCTTCCAGTTATGGATGGCAACTACTATCTCCCAATTGTGCTGCTGCGTATACACTCTGTAATGCAAGCCCCAGGTGACTACAAGTGATTACACTGGCACAGGCTTTGTCTGCACTCGTCACTATTAAGAAGCCGGTCCAGAGCAATGATATGTAACTGACCCTGCAGTAAGTGCATGTGGACAGGAAGTGGCTGAAAGAGATCAGTGGCACTAATATGCAAAAAGAAAAAAAACAGAACGATGGAGAACTGCAGCAGAGGGCGGGTACAATGCTAGTTTACTATTGGCTATTTCAAATTGAAATAGCCAATAGTAATGTAGCAATGCATTTCAATGGGAATTTTTTTTTTCTTCTCTATTCTGACATCGCTCGTGTCAGAATAAAGAAAGACACAGCAGTGTTTCTCTCCTTGGCGGCCGGGAGCAGGAGACTCCCGGGGCGCCAGGGAGAGTTAGCCGTTCTCTCTGCAAGTGGCCGGAGCCAGCCGTAAGTTCACGGCTGGCTCCGCCCAGCTGTCAAAAGCAGGCTGTCGGCCGGCCGCTCGGCCAGCTTCGGCTTTCAGCACGGCTCAGCCGAGCCGATGCATATGCGTTCGGCTCGACTGAGCCGCTCGGCCACGTTCGGGAGCTGTAGGGCTATTGTGAATAGGGGTCCTGGGGCCGAAGCATCGGCCGAAGCTACGGCTAGATCCTTCGGCAGCTTCGTGAATAGAGCCCTAAATGTCACCCATTTGGCTTTTACACCTACGGTAATGTGGGGCGTGACGAACAATGTGTGTGATGTGTTTATTGACCGTACTCAGTAGCTGTGTGCTTCAGTCAGGATTTATCGGGAGTCAGTCCCTCTTCTTAGAATCACTCGTTACTTTTCTCTACCATTGTAATGAAACAAGCTATCACCATAACTACAATGTTTTCTCCTCTACAGGTCTCTCTCTGCAGCTGACTGCTCCTTCAACTCATCACACCATGATGGGGAAAGATGTGACCATTCCCTGCTCATTTACAATCGATAACCCTCCTATTGATCAGAAATTTCTAGGAATATTCTGGTACTTTCAGGGAGTGGAAATATTAAGTGTTCAGAATGGGATTGTGAGATCAAGAGATCCTCGCGTGTCGTATACAGGCCGGGCAGAAAATGGAATTGCTGATCTGTCTATATCAAACATCACTATAACGTATGGAGGGATATATACGTGCTCCATACTGTACACCCCAAGGAAGGAAGAGAAAGAGATCAGATTAGATGTACAAGGTACAGAGTTCAAAGAGCAATCCGATTTCATAGCACAGAAAAGTTAACTATTAACAAATAACACACAGGGTTCCAATAGTTCATGGTAAGCAATGGGAGTAAATGTTTATCTGTCAGAGTATAGTCACTAAGAAACACCTTTCAGGTTACAATCAAATCCTCATCCCAAATACATACAATCCCCATACAGCGTTCCTACGCGCTGTAAAACGCTCAACATGTGAAAACCAATGATTGCCTATGGGCATGGTTCCCACCTGGGCGTTTTACAGCGCGTAGGAACGCGCTGTAAAACGCCCTACACCCAGAGAAGTACAGGAGCTTCTTTGGGGCGTATTTGCCGCGCATATCCATTGTGATACAGCCGGATAGCCCTCGAAAACGCACGTTTGTTGCGTGTTTCTTTGACCGCAAATCGCGGTAAAAACACGCGACAAACGCGCATATTCCGTACGCCTAGGTGTGAACCCAGCCTTAGAGTCACCCTGTCACTATGGGGTCTAAACTGCAGTAAGCCAACCCTGCAAAAGTAGATACTAACCTTTCTGGGGGGCGGGTCTTAGAACTCTGACGCGTAGCAGATCCTTGGCCAATGAAGGTATACAACACTTCCAGGTGTGCTTAATGCTCACTCCCCCACCATGAGCTGTGGTTCATGTATGTCCTTTAGCAACATAAGAGCCGGTGGGATCAGGGGCGTCCTGAGGCTGGGTGACACCCGGAGCGGTAACCGAGTGTCACCCCGCCGAGACGTCACTGCGCATGCGCGTGATGTCACCATGCGCGACGTAATCGCGCACGCGCGGCGGTATTCTGATATCTGCCGGTGGCCATCTTGGTGATGGACGCCGGCAGAGAGAGGAGGGGACAGTCACCCGGCGGTATAAGGTATGCCACCGGGTCCCCTCCTCTCTCCTAATACTGTCGGGCATTCGGTCCATGACCGAGCGTCCGACTTTTAAGAGGGGGGTGACACCAAAATGACTGTGATTCATTTTGGTGTCACCCCTCCAATGGTGTCACCCGGGTGCGGGCCGCACCTCCCTTGTGACGCCACTGGGTGGGATGAACTATTGTGCAGATCCTGTAGCATTCAGTGGTATTACCTTAGTATGAACTCACGCATACACATGCAGAATCACACACAGACACACAAAGGTTGTACTTGATGGACTTATGTCTCTATTCAACCTCAAATACTATGTAACTATGTAACCCCATAGTGACATGGTCACTTTAATGGGTCTATTTATAACCACTTTTCAAGATCCATTGCCCATCGCAGATCCATTGCCCTAACAAATCTTTCTGAATGGTCATACTACGCAAATAAATGCAAAAACAAACATTCTTAGGTATTCTTTCTTTTCAGGTCAAATGTATGTAATGTAATACCTATTCATCGCCACTAGACATAGCTGATGAGCATAGGAAATAAGTATTTCCTGTGCTCCTTGCCTCCATCTTGGGACCATGATGCAGTACTGTATCACATGTATTCAACCTAAAAACAAAAATATATCTAAGAACATTCATTTTTTGCATCTACTCGCGGTCAGTAGGTTGAATGGCTCTGCAAATTGGTACTCGCCCAAATGCTCCAATACTTACCCCGATACTGGAACTTCCAGGCAGAGGGAACTTCCCTCTGACCAGCAGTGCCGCAAGGTAGCACCGAGCCAGCTTCCTGGCTAGCCAGGAAACCGGGCGGAAGGTCATGACCCGCCTCCCGGCGTCCTGATTGGCTAGAAAGCCGGCTTCATGCTACCTAGCGACAGTGCAAGGCAGACTGGCATCCTGACCAATCAGGAAGCTGGGCTGCAGGTCATGAACCGTCTCCCAGCTTCCTGATTGGCTAGGAAGCTGGCTTCACATTGCCTAGCAACACTGCAAGGCAGCCTGGCTTCCTCACGAATCAGGAAGCCAGGCAGCAGGCCGTGACCAGGGGATTCCGTTATCGGTAAAAACATTGGCACTTGTACTAGATACTGAAAACACGGTATCAGTGCATCCCTAGTTTTTACTTATTAGCTATCTTTAGTTTCCTCATTATTATGCATTCTTTATTACCTTACACCTCCTCTACTATCATTATGGAGAGATGTAATATGACAATAAAACCTCAATAAGTTGACTTACATTAAGATAGACTTGGCTTTATTTCTGAAGAATGTTATTTTAAATCAAGTTGTTAGTTAATTGATCGATAACGATTATTATACAGTAACATGACTGAGAATAAAAATGGTCATAGCTAATAACATGTGTTTATAGACAACACACCCAGGAGACATGACCCCGTTCTTCAGTCAAGTGCCCAGGCTGTGAAGCCATAAGTTTGTATTGTACTGCGCCACTGCACCTGCTGATCTCAGCTAACCTCTGTGTACTTATGGCAGTTTCTGTCCTGCTTCTCTCATATTCTGTGAAGATCAGAATATGAAAATTATTTGTACACTAGAACTCTACCAGTTAGATAGGAATGAATGTGCCTAATGTGTGCAGGACTAACGCTTTGAAAGAGACAGTCCCTCCAAAACTGATATTTTAGTTTTTGGATGATGCTGGGGAGTTAAACCACCTGACAGTCCCCTCTATCTCTCAGGACCCCTTTCGGGTAGAGTTCAGCACGTCCGCTGTGTCTAATATTAGTTGCTCCACTCTACCTGTTGAATTTTTTATGTATTTTATAGTAAGCAGAATGTAAAAGGAGGAGCTGCAACACACAAACACGGATGGGAACACCCAAAACTCCCAAGCGAGGAAGAATATTGGCAGGAAATATAGCTAGGGGTGTTCAATTACTGTAGTAGCAAAGACATATACGAGGTCAGGAGTAGCTCAACCTAACAGGGTCCATCTATGACTAGAATATCACTTTTGGGGGGGCAGATCCTTTAACTGGTTATGATGCTGGTAGCACATGATGTTCTGTATATTTTATAGCTCCGCCACAGATCACCATTACAGAAACATTAGTTGTTAAAAACAGAGAGAGCGTCCTGCGCAGTGTCATCTCTGGATTCTACCCGGTGGACATTGACATCAAATGGCTCCGAGATAGAGAGATATTGGCCAATGTTATCATGGAGATACCTCAGAGAGACCCGGATGGGACGTACAGTGTGAGGAGCTCAGTACCAATAACACCCACTAAAAAGGACAGAAAGCGGACCTTCTCCTGTAGAGTCCAACACGAGTCTCTTACTGCCCCTCTCCAGGAGGACTTCCAGCTGGTGTATGGAGGTAATATTATTATTACTCTGTATGTAATAAGTCATCTAAAGTTATCTGCATTTTCTGGAAGATTAATCTAAGAAAAGTTCATAACATAAGTATGATCAACACATAAACATCCTCATTTATTATTTCTTAAAGGGAATTACATTACTTTTGCATATTTATGTTTCTTTCTTTCTGGTTGGGACTAAAAAATAAAACTAATTTCAGTCAGATTGATGTAAAACATTGCATATGAATAGTTCAATATTCTGTGTAACAAAACCCTAGACCCACCACAACCTCCTTATGTCTGCTGTCTACTGGCAACCTGCAAAAATCCCAGTACATCAGTGTATGAGATAGCATGGGATACATCATCTGCCTCCCTACAAAACAGTGCCAAAGCACCCCTTGAACACCCCAGCTCTGTCACATGAGGTGAGGGCTGTGTCTTAAAGGAGAACTATGGGGTCAGTGCTTTTCCCCATAGTTCTCCTAAGGGTCACGGGAGGACACAAACTAGCATCCTCCCATGACCCAAAGCTCAGTATACCGCGAGCTACAGCTCGCGGTATACTGAGACCGCCGCAGCCGGGACGGATCCCGACATTACTGTCGAGATCCACCCAGATGAGTGATTAACAGCTGGCTCTGCCTATCTAGAGGCAGAGCCAGCTGTACCCGCCCGTCCGTTCCGCCAGTCAGCGCTGGAGGATCGGCGCTGGGGGGGAATCCCTGCAGGGAGCCGTGAGTGACAGTCATGGCCCTCTGCAGGGAAATGATCAAGAAGTGAGCGAGCGCCGGTATGTGTTTGCTCACTTCGCGATCTATTGAGACTGTCACACGTCGGATCGAACTATGAGGTTGAGTGAAAATCACTCACCCCATAGTTATAGTTCTCCTTTAAATCATGTAATTGTGGACAGTTGGGAGTAGTTAACAAATTTTTAAAAAGAAAAAAAAATAAATCATGTAATTGTTGACAATACTAGGGGAGGGGGAAATTAGGATATTTTACACTGATAGCTTAACGTGACCCTATTCCTAGACTATACCTACCAAAGTATTTACATACTCTGAATAGTAAAAATCACAATATAATAAGCTGTAACTCACCTCTGTAGCTGCAGGTTCTTTGGAAAAATGAATCTCCAAACTTTGCAGCAGAGGCTTGAAATCACAGAATTTTTCCCCTTTACTTTCAATGGCAGCAGAATCTTGGCAGCCTGCCAGTCGTCTAAGGTAAAACAAACACCAGGTGCTTGTAAGATGCTAGAAACTGACTGAAATCCGAGTTTAGACTCTCTTGTGACTTTTGAGGGTTATTTACTCCACAGTGCAAGCAACTACAGAGTTCAGTGACAGCTTGCTTTGTAGCTCTTTCACTGCTGGTTTATAACAATGTAATGTAAATACTTTAATGTCCATGGTCTGGGCACAAGTTTATTTCAGAATGAAATGCAATGACTATTTATGTAACTGTTTCATATAACTTTACTGACTGACAGCAGATATTAGAGACTATTAGGTGTCTGTCTCTTATCTCTACACTCACTCCCTCAATAAACCTTTATCAAAGTGAACCTATACAAAACTAACACTGTAATAACACGTATGTCACTTTTATTGCAGAAATCCCCACTGTTCAGATAACTTCAGAAAAATTTAAGTTGAATGTGCAGCAGATGTTGGTATGCAATGTTTTTGGGTTTTACCCAGAATCCATCACTGTGAACTGGTTCTTGAATGACACCCTGCTGGAGAATACCAAGACCCGAAGGATTAGCAGCTCGGCTGTGGAATCTGTCTACCACTTCATCCCCACAGAGCAGAGCTGGGGCATGTATCTGAGTTGTGTGGTGGATCATGCAACCCTCACCACCCCACAGGTGGAGAGACTGCTGGTACAAGGCATTGGTGAGTGACTCGCCTTTTAACCACTTGAAGTCCGCGGTGTTACACACCCTTCCTGGCCCGGCCATTTTTCCAGTATTCAGCGCTGCGGTACTTGAGTCTACAGTACCCAAAATTGGCTGTAGGCGACGCTTTCAAAGCTTTTACCGCTCATCAGTTTAGTGTTATCAGTGATTGATGGCCCTAAAATTATTTCACCCCTTCCGACGTCCGCGGCGATATGTAACATGTGTAGCGCAATTGTCATTTTCGCGTGCTGGCGCATCGGACACGTATTCACGTTTATATGTGCGTAAACGTGGGGGTGGGGAATTTTAAATTTTTTACTTTCTTTATATGTGACTTTTATTCTTTTTTTTACACTTATTGTTATTGCTATCACATTGGGGGATAACAATCCCCCTATACAGGTGAAACTCGAATAATTAGAATATCGTGCAAAAGTAATTGCAGTAATTGCTGCAAAAGGGGCCCAAACCAAGTACCGAGTACATATGCATGCTTGTACTTTTCAGAGGTCCGATATTGTTCTATGTACAATCCTTGTTTTATTGATTGCATGTAATAATCTACTTTTTTGAGGTTGTGGATTTGGGTTTCTCGGGGTTTTCATGAGCTGTAAGCCATAATCATCACAATGATGACAAATCACGGCTTGAATTATCTTGCTTTGCATGTAATGAGTCTCTCTCATATATTAGTTTCACCTTTTAAGTTGCATTAGTGAAATAAATGAACTTTGCACGATATTCTAATTATTCGAGTTTCACCTAGGGGGGGTGGCGGCGGCAGTGCAGGAGGGGGTGAGCAGTCACAACATACAAGCGATCGGTGACTGTACAGTCGCCGATCGTTTGTATGTCAAACGGCCAGCAGGAAAAAAAAGCCGTCTAATTACGGCAACCCACCGATGGGACTTTGCCATCCGTCCGTTTTTTCACAACGGGTGGACGACAAGCGGTTAAAGAGAATACTGCAAAATAAGCTGCATACATAAATGAAGAGAAACTGCACAATGGTTGCAAACATTTTTGTAAAGTAATAACTGCAATGGCATGTAGAGGTAAAACCCTGGCAGAAAATGCTTTATAGACATTATTGCTGCTGTACAATGGTTTGGAGCAGCCAATAGCACTCCATCTGGTGTTATGTAGCTGTGTGTTGTTCCCAGTGGAAGTCTTAGCAAGCAATGTGGTCAGCAACTTGTGTACACCAAATATTACTTACTCCTGGCCATGTGACCAATGATACAGACACAATCACTTGTGACTAATTGCTCCTGCATTTAGTCACAACTCCTACATTTCTATCCAGGAGTCTAAAGCTGGCCATACACCTTACAATTATCTGCAGATTTTCTATGGCCAGATGGAAAAGGTGCAACAGATTCCTCCATCTACACTTAACTGTGTGGATGGAGTAATCTCTCCCTGGGCAAATCTGTGGCACTTTTTCCATCTGACCACAGAAAATCTGCAGATAATTGTAAGGTGTATGGCACCTATACTAGATATTTTTGCTACATTCTTTAAGGCCCGGTTCACACCTGGGTGTTTTGTAGCGCGTTCAAACGCTCTGCAAAACGCTCAAACACCGAAATCCCATTATTTCCTATGGGTATGGTTCACACCTGGGCGTATTACAGGCCGTATGAACGCGCTACAAAACGCCCTACGCCCAAAGAAGTACAGGAGCTTCTTTGGGGCGTTTTTTGACGCGCGTTTCTATTAGGATACAGCCAAGTAGCCCTCGGATAATGTGCGGTAAAAACGTGCATATATTCGATACGCCTAGGTGTGAACCCAGCCTAAGACCTGATGAAGGGAGATCTTTGCCCCCCCCCCCGTTAATATTCGTGATATTAATAAAGAACTTTTGACTCTTGAGACAATCATTTGGGTCAACCAAAGACTCCTTCTTATGGGCTAAAGGGTAAGTTTACCTTTATGACCATATTTAATGTTACACACATATTCGAGATGTTACATAAAACGTGGTCACATGTACCCATTTATTTGTAAAATATAAATGATGAGATTACAACGAGTAATTAAATATCCAACATGCCCAAGTTAAAGAGTGTGTGCGTCCGTGAAACGGCGACAAATTCCAGTACCCCAAAAAGTCCATAGACGACGCTTTAAAAGCCCCCACAGGTTATCAGTTTACAGATACGCCTAAATATTGGCCCTAGAATTATTACTCTCACTCTGGTGTACACGGCAATACCCAACATGTTTAGCGTGATTGATGTTTTACGTAGGCGCACCCAAAGCGTGTTTGCATGAATGTGTGCACGCCTGTGGGGCACTTTAAGAAAAAATAATTAATTATTTTTACATTTCTTTTATTCTATATTATTTTTTAAAACTGTTTTTTTTTTTTTTTACTTTAATTGCTATCACTATGGAGGGCTTACAAGCTCCCCATGTGATAGCATATTGGCAGTGACAAGCCCTCTTTAAGGTTATACTGGGGGTCCAAAAGACCCCTAGTATCACCTTTACACTCTAAATAAGCTATTGAAGTGCAGATCGCAGGCTTCAGTAGCCCAGCAATGACAGCTATGGGACCGGAAGTGAAGCAATCTGCGTTGCTCCCGTCCTCCCGTAGAGCGTTGAGATCGGTGAACGGACGTTCGCCTCCCTCCTTCCCAGCTTCCAGCCAGCACCCAACATGTCAATCCTGGGCCCGCAGAAGGGGCAGCAGAGCCCGGGAAACACGGTGGGGGTGTCGGGTGGGGGGCACTTTATCGGCCCATAGAAGCGATCAGGCCGCAGGTGAGCCCTCAGAATCGCTTCTATTGTAAAGCCGACAGCCAGTGGATTTCTGGCATTCTGATTTTCCGGCACTTATTGGACAGATATTACAAAATACTTTAAATTATAATATTGAACAGACCTTAAGGGAGAAAATAAGAGAAGTTGGTTGTGAGGGTTTAATACATTTTAACCTGGATGATCAGCCCCATCAACTGTTTATTCTGTTGGTTATTTGTTTAGATGAGATCTTGAGAAATGCTGAATTAAGTTTTGCTTGCTTAGAAGGACATTACATGCATGTGTACAGCATTGTGCAGGAAACATATATAGTATAGACAGAACTTCCTGTGTATTATAGATAACTGCATATAAACTGTAACATTGCACTACAGCGCCATCTACAGCTCAAAAGACACATCAGCATATGAGTACATTAGAATATGCTGTTGCATTTCCCACATATTCATCTTAAGAACTGGTCATAACAAATGTTCAAATGCCCCACTGATCTGGCAGAGCACCTCATGGGATGCGGCAATTACAGGTATTTGTATCAATAACTTGATGTAATTGCGTTTGTGATTTAGCCAAATTGCTATTTCTATACAATCATGAAAATAACGCATGATAAAGCATAAAACACATGCACGCAAGCTTTAGAGAATAAATCCCCTGAGTGTGGGAGATATAAACAGATTTTTTTTTAATTCTACTTTTTAGATTTGAGGGCAAAACATAAAACCCCTGTTACAATTGTCGCTGCATTGCTGATCCTAATACTGGGAACTGTCATGTTTTATGTGTTATACAAGAAAGAAAGAAAAAAGAGTAAGTAATTGGAAACATTTCATTACTTTTACCTTTTGTTTGCACATTGCTGCGTCATTTGAAAGAAGAAAAAAAAAAACTAGGTTCAAGATCAGTGTGCACCTAAACCACCTCATATTATCAAGTTCACCTCACCCCCCTATACCCATTGATACAATATAAGTTAGGCATACACCAGTTAGGCCTGATTAAAGCTGTCCTGCCACTGGTCAATTTTACACTGCTGTATCCTTTGCAGTATCCTAACTCCAGTAATAAAGCCCCAACCTGTCTACTTTGTCTCTAGTAAATTTAGGCCTAGCCGTGCTTTATAGAATTGTCCTGCTGCTGGTCAATTGTCCACTGCTGTGTCATCTGCAGTTTCTTAATTCTTAATGAGACCTTGACAGGTATTGGACAGTGGCAGGACAGTTTTGTATCAGTGAGAACAGGGACAGTCAAACTACTAGTCAATTTCTATCTGCCGGTCATAGTGGGTCCATTATTATTATTTGTGTCACAACTAAAGCAGAAAAAAAAAACCTTCTTTTTAAAAAACTGAAAAGAATCAGATTGGGGGGGTGCTGCTGCTGTAAGGTCAGCCAACTGTAAAAGAAATGTAAAAAATCCACAGACAAATATGTGTTGCTAGAAAGTTTTAGCAGCCAGAGGTTTCTGTGCATACTGGAGCTGTTGCTGAAATATGACATATACTGGTGTCAGTCAAGGATTAGGACAAAGCATCCCCCACCTTCCCAGGATGGTTTTTAAAGTATTTGTGTATTTTCAGTGTTACCCTCCGAGATGCCTGAACAGACCCTCTCTCTGTTATATGGTACTGTTAAAAACATTACATTAGTACATATCCCCCATGGTAGAGCCCAGATTCCCATGCCTGTTGTTTGGCAGATGTTTGCCAATAGCTCTAAAAATGAACGTGGGGACATGGCCTCAGATTGGTTTAAGATTATAAACTAAAAGATCCAATTGTTCTTCAGTAGACAAAAACTACACTTCCACATGCAGTTTTGCTGCTGAGTGATCGAAACCCCTTTCTTTAGTAGAACATGTGGTAAGTTGCAATTGTTACTATCATGTTAACTGTAAAAGTGCTATACTCGTATTTTTTTATTAAATAGATTCAGCCCACAATAGATGTAATGCGGCTCTTTGAAGATTTATTCCACTCAGCTTGGCCCATTGTTTCAGTTGAATTTGACATGTCTACTTTAGATATTCAGTCTGCAGGAGCAGAGAACAAATGCAGAGCTAGTACTGGGCTCTCCTACTAGACAGCCAAGCATGCCATACACATGCTAAAGTAGCCAAGCATCCTGTAATAACTATTTTTTTGTATTTTTTTTAAGACTGTAAAACTGAATTTCGTTAAAGTGAGGCTGGGGAAATTCTAATCCCTCCCCCCACCTCTTTTCTCCAGCTCAGCTTTACATCTAACTTTCCCACCAGCACACTTACAGGGTTATTCACAAAAGGGTGAAGAGGTTAGAGAAGGGAGGAGAAGGGAACAATCTAGAACATGTGTCAAACTAAAGGCCCAGGGGCCGAATCCGGCCCACCAGGCCATTTCCTAGACTTCTACTTTCAGAACTAGGTATTAAGTTATTACTAAAACCAGTGTTAATGGAATGCAGAGGCAATTATGATAAAGATTAGATACATTTATATAGTTTTACAGGCCTTTGAGGGAAAGCATAATGTTGATGCGGCCCACGATTAAATTGAGTTTGACACCCCTTTGATCTAGGACAACATAGCTGATTTGGAAGAATTCTCCAGTTCAGCTCACTTTCCTGTTCAGCTATGTTGTCCTGGATTGTTCCCTTCTCCTTCCTTCTCCAAGCTCATCACCCTTTTGTGAATAACCCTGTTATTGTCAAATAGGTATGCAGGCTTTCTGAGTTTACTACCAGTAAGGACATGTACGTGGTCTTGGATTACAATTCAGAGTGAATCTCTGTAAACTTGTTGGAAAGTTTCTTCATAAATGTTATATAAAAATTCTTGAAAGTGGAAAATGAAAATAGCTTATAAATAAATACAGAGATAGATATTAAATTACATTTCACCAAAAACCACTATGGCTTTGTTTCAAACTGAAAAGAAGGAAACTGAGTCAGTTATGCAAAGACGACATACAGAAGCATTGGCGAATATCATATTATTAGAGTTTAGATCATTCTTCCCTGATCTCCAAATGTGGGTTACATTTGTCCTCCATACATGAAGTGATTTCCATAAAACTAGGTCTGGACCTAATCTAACAGATTACTGTCTTGTATACGGACATCTTATTACCAAATTATTGAATCTTATTATCAAATTATTGAATCTTATTACTAATTATTTAATTTGCTTTATTAAAAGTTTTTTAAGGTATCAGAATTGATGGTTCTAATGTCACATAACTGTTGTATTATGAAATTTATTTACAATGATCTGTTTGGTGTTACAGGCCTTCCAAAGGTAAGAGAAATCACTCGCTCCCCAGGGGGTCTTTTCAGCTTAGATGTGGATCATTTTTACCCAGAAGCTATTACAGTATCTTGGGAGGTGATCCAGCCACCGTCGAGCACACAGCCCCGTCCCATAGACTCTACTCCTGTAATGCATCAGAACCAGGATGGAACCTTTAATGTCACCAGCACCAGTGAAAGCCTCAGAGGGATGATCTGGGAGGATGAGCCTTATGCTGTGCGTGCTTCAGTGACCCACCAAAAACTGAAACGTCTGTCACATAAAGAATGGAAAAGCGATGATAAAGATAACAGAGGTATGGGGAATATTCTAGTAGTAATGACATTCTCAAAGACATTAAATGGGTCATTCTAAACTTTATAGTGAGACATTTTATACAGAATATGTTGTTCTCATGTGTGACACAAATGGTCTAGTATGTAAATCTTGTAGGTTTTTTGATTAAACTTCCACGTGCGAAAGTTACAGATACAAATATGTGGACTTTGATCAGGAGTATTTCAGGGAACCAAACAAATGCCAGCCAAACCTCTGACAACATAAATGATCTTATTATAAATGTCAGCACTTCCCTGAGGTACAAGGTGAAACTACTTCCATTTAGTAACACAGAAGACTGATGGCAAAAAAGTGGTCTATCAAGTCTGCTCGTGTTTGTTTATTTTATCTGTTTTTTTGCCTGAGACTAGACCTATGATTATCCCAAGCCATTCATTGACGGTTGATTGACTCACTACCCTTGCTGGAGTTCTGATCCAACCATTCATTACTCTTTCTGTAAAATACTGTATGTATTATCAATAGAAAATGTAAAAAAAAATATGCAGGAGAACAGACAGATGGGGATTATGTTTTATACGGCACTAAACATTGTTGATTCTAAAATATACAGGAGAATGTACAGACATGTGTGAAATTCAAAATGTACAGCACAATATAAAAAGTGAAAGAATGTAATTTACAGATCTCACAGCACAGAGCACAATAGAGCAGTGTGGTATAGACTACAGAACATACTGGGTTGGGGTGGTGGAGTGCTGTGGTGTATACAATGTACAGTACTGTGTGCAGACCAGGGTGGTGTAAAGACCGTACAGCAGATTGGAGCAGTGTGGAATACAGAATGTTGCGGTGTAGAGTACAGATTATACAGCAGAGAGAAATGTTGTGGAGAAGTTCCTGGGAAATGTTTTCCTGCATTCATAAAGCAGGCACATTTGGTGAGTCAGTCAGATCAGCCATATTGTTGGAATCAACACTCAGACACTCGCATATTATTATTATTACACAGGATTTATATAGCGCCAATAGTTTGTGCAGCGCTTTACAATATAAGGAAGATATTACAATCACAATACAAGACAAGATGGTAAGGAGGGCCCTGCCCCTGAGGGCTTATGTCAATCTGTACATTCTACTCAATAACTATCCACTTGGGTACTACACCTATGGCCCCATTCACACCTAGGCGTTTTGTTGCAAGCTGCAAAACACCTGGTGCTCAAAAAAGTTCCTGAGCTCTTTGGGGTGAGTTTAGCCCCATAGAATTCAATGCAAAAGCCTGAAAAACACATATTTTATGCGCATTTTCCCATTGGCTGCAATATCTTTGATCTGCCACCCAAGACGCGTGTCTTCATGTGCGCGTGTCTAATGCAAATATAAATGTGCAAGACCATTCCAAATATGCTAGGCAAAAACGAGTACAAAAACGCTGATGCGTAGGTGTGAATGCAGGCATTGGCACTCCCTCCATGTATGTAAAGCCAAAACATTTTTGTTGTTGTTTTGGATAGAGCATGGAGGCATTAAAACAGCCAGTTCAGTATTTGGGTTTGCTTTACATATAAGAATATATATTTTCTATTATCTTTTCCAGATTTTCTAGCACAGCCGGAAGTGGAGATGATAAAAATACCAAAATGGTTTGTCAACCAACAGACACAACTTCAATGCAGAATCACACACTTCTACCCCGATCAGCTGACTGTCAATTGGTTTAAGAAAGAAAATGGAAAGGAAGATTTAATTTATATAGTTGACAATGAGAGATACAAGATTCCCAACCGCAAATCTCAACTACAGCCGGATAAAACATTTACATATACATCGCTTCTAGAGGTCACCCCATCACTAGAGGATAGGGGGTCAGAGATCATCTGCAGAGTGAGCCATCCCAGTCTGGAGGAACCAATAGAAAGGACAACTGGAGCATTACAGGTGCTGGGTGAGTATAAATATAACTAGCAAATTATTTCTACTAGCAAATGAAAGCACATAATTTGAAGCATTAATCTGAATTGGTTGGACCAAATGCCTCCTCACAGTATGCATGCCTGTCATTAGGTCCTCCACACTGTGTGTAAGACTTTTTTGCATTGTGTTTGCATTGAGTGTTGGGCAGCAGAACTGGTGTAAATGAACCCCAAGGAAACACACCTGTGCTGCAGCAGGCCGCAACACACTACAATGAATGAAGATGACAGTGCACAAAGATCATTCATTTATCTTCTACCCAACACACCACAATGCACCGTTGGTTCCCATCTGTGCACTGTGCTGCAATAAAAAACACATGTGTTAAGGTGTGATGGGGGGAGGGGGGGATTAAAAATTATTTGGCACTGCAACATATGAGGATGCAGATTGGGCATTACCACAATACATAGATGTGAAGCCAACCACAAGATTTTTTTTGCATAATTTGCCTATTTACTGTTTCACTGTTGCTCAAAAAGACAAAAATATTGACATTTTTTCTCTTATCTCTTAGATTAGATCTCTTAGATTTAGTAGGAATTGTATTCATGTATTATGTTGCGTTTGCGTGCAAAAAAGAGAATTCGTATACTCACTGTAAAATCACTGCGTTCATTGAAGGACACAGCCGTATCTTTAGATCTTCAATAATGGGTTTTATCACCACCTGCAGGAGTAGGACGCTAGGCACTAAGAAAGGACAACCCATGGGTGGCCCCTGCTGGTGGTCAATTCACCCCCCCCCCCACATCCCATCTGCAACAACTAACTCAGTTAGTAGCAAGCAGTACACAGAACAATGGGATACACAGCATTTCCTCAGTTTAGGACAGGAGCTGTTATGTTCAATGAATGTAGAAAAACTTTTTTTACAGTAAGTACAACATTCTATTTTCTTTTCGGCTCACTGAAGGACAAAATTGGATCTTTAGATCTTGATGTTCCAAAGCAATGTGAAACAGAATGTGGGCCCAAACAGAAAATCAGAAAAACACAACCAAGAACCCCAACTGGAACTTTCACACTGCTGCCTACAAAGCGTTGCAGCCAAAATTAGCATCCGAGGACGCTGCACTGAACTTTGTAGGGTGTGGACAGATGAGAACCTGAGAAATAGAAGCATGATGATGAAAAGCCCAGGATGCACTCAATGCCAAGGATCTATATACAGGTGAAACTCGAATAATTAGAATATCGTGCAAAGTTCATTTATTTCACTAATGCAACTTAAAAGGTGAAACTAATATATGAGAGAGACTCATTACATGCAAAGCAAGATAGTTCAAGCCGTGGTTTGTCATCATTGTGATGATTATGGCTTACAGCTCATGAAAACCCCAAGAACCCCAAATCCACAATCTCAGAAAATGAGAATATTACATGCAATCAATAAAACAAGGATTGCACATAGAACAATATCGGACCTCTGAAAAGTACAAGCATGCATATGTAATCAGTACTTGGTTTGGGCCCCTTTTGCAGCAATTACTGCAATTACTTTTGAACGATATTCTAATTATTCGCGTTTCACCTGTATATCTGGCCTGTCACCCAGTCAGCAACTTAATAGAAAAAAGAAGAAAATCCAACAAAAGGAAAAAAAAATTGAACCGAAGAAATCAGCAAAAAAATCTCGGTGCTAACACTTAGGCATGAGGCAAAGAACTGAGTTGGTTTTTGGAACCGGGGTAGGGGAAGGGTAATTGGCCACCACTGGGGGAACGTCCCTGAGGTTTTTTTTGATTGTACCTAATGTCCTACTACTGCAGGTGGCAATATAACCCATCAGTCAAAATGTAAAGATCCAGCTGTGTCCTTTAACAAACAGAAGATAAATATTGTTTAGATAAACATTTGTGCAGCTATGGCAGGATGTACAAATTCAGAGGCACCATCTTTTATTCTATGGCCCCTGTGCTTTCAGGAAAATAATGATTTGGGGTCATTTTGAAAACTTCCAAAGCTGTAGGTGAAAAACAAATTTAAAGAAGGATTCCAGGATTTTTTTTATGAACTCTTGCAGTGGGGCTACCCTCACACTTCAAGGGTTAAGTATTAATATGTGTCCAGGTGCTAAAATAACATAGATATACTCACCTGAAGCTCCGAGCTGGCCAGCTGTCACTGTGCTCCCTCCAGTCTGCCTCCCCCTCCCTGCAACATTGTAATCTTCCTCAGCGTCCTTATATCTATACACTGTGTATAAACGTTGATGATTTACGGGACCTTAGACTCCTGCTGCCGAGGGGAGAGACATTGGAAGGACCAGTCTAAGAAGAAGCCGGTTCAGAACTTTGGATGAGTATAACTTTGTTGTTTTTGTTTATCTAGGCAAGGACGAGCTGTTAACCCTTGCATTGCGGCAGTAGCCCCACTGAAAGGGTCAACCAAAAAAAATCTTTAAAGTTCTACTTTAAGTATAAAATAGGAAAATATGGTCTAGTCACCTGAGGTTAGAAGTGGAAAGCAGGGCCCATCAGTAAGAGGGTTACATAAAGCAAAAATAGAAATTAGATGTCACAATTCAATATAAGTGATTGCTGTGAAACAATTTTGATTTTACCAAACCCCAGAAGACTTTACTGTCAGAAGACAATATTTTTGCTATAAAAACGAACAACATTGTTTGTAGTGTTTTTGTTTTGTAAACATAAGCCATGTATATTTATTTCAATGTTCTCCTTGTACAGTAAAACCCAAAGCCCAGCAGCCCATACAACTCCCTATTAATGACTCAGGAGACATGGTGGCATCTTTCAGCCTTTTCAGCTTTTACCCAGAAGATATAAAGGTCACTTGGACATGTAGACCAACCCAGGAGAAGAAACCATCACAGGAGACAATCAGTGAGAATCCAGATGGCACATTTACTGCCACCAGTCGGTGTACAATTCCTGGAAATCTCTTTGAGAACCCGAAGTTCAGAGTCAGAGTGACATGGGACCATCCATCCATGGAGAGTCCAGAATACAGAGAGATGTGTGTACAAGATCCAGGTGAAGATATAAATATATACAGTGTCCAAACACAATATTGTAGCTGTATGAACTAACATCTGTGTATTTTCTTGATACTGACAATTTTATATAAATATTCTATAGATTTCCCATGGTGGCCACAAATTAAAGATATAACGCAACTCATTCTGCAGTCACACCAGACGACCACAGTGAGATGTACAATATCCGGCTATTTCTCAGGAAATCTAAGAGTGACTTGGATAGAAAAGAGGGGAGAATCTGAAACTGATTGTACACATAAACAGTACTACAGTATACCTGATATCAGACATGAGAGAATGGTCGATAACTCCTATCAGTGCTCCCCGTCCCTTTCCTTCACACCGAGATCAGTCACTGAGGATGTGGAGTTTATCTGCAGAGTGGAACATCCCAGCCTGGAACATCCAATAGAACAAAGCACAGGACCAGCCATGAAAAAGGGTGAGTCTCCGAAAAAAAAAAATACACCAGTAGAATTACGTTTACATTTTTTTTTCCTTTGATTTTCTGATAGTTAATGGGGTCAGTGGGTGGGGTGGATGGAATCTTTTCTTTTAATTTGGGAAACTATTTATTTCAAAATATACAGGGCTATTCACAAAAGGGTGAAGGGTTTGGAGAAGGCAGGAGAAGTGACCAATCTAGGACAACATAGCTGAACTGGAAAAAGTCTCCAATTCAGCTCACTTTCCAGTTCAGCTCTGTTGTCCTAGATTGTTCACTTCTCCGGCCTTCTCCAAACTCTTCACCCTTCTGTGAATAACCCTGTGCATGTAAAAACCAAATGCAATTTCCAACAACACTCGGAAAGTCTCTGATGGAATGATCAAATATTAAAATAGGATTTTTCGTATAAACGTTCATACAAAAATCTACCAGTGTGTGGCCAGCTTATCACAAAATTACACCAAAGGTCCAATTTACATTTACAGAAGAGAATGTGAAGTATGATTTCCTACATGCATATTCTAGTGACATATATACACTGTAGCACTGGACTCCATACATTCTTTTTAGGATTGCAATCTCCTATCTATAGAACTGCCTCCTTCTTCCATGCTGTGTGACTGCAAGGCCTTTGTTCAAAATTAAAGTAATGCACGGGGCATCCAGTTCTCACTGAGTGCAATATCAATGTCTTCTGCTGGAGAGGATAGGGCAGCCTGAAGCCATAAACAGTATGTCTCAGTGCTGTTGATTAGATTCTGCTAATTTAAAGTAGATGTAAACCCAATCACTGAAATCCCATATAAACTTTAAAGTAATTTCAAAAGCCATTATTAATCTATTTAATCTGCAGATTCCATTATAATAATCCCTGGTGACCTTGCCATGAAGGCCCTTTATCAGACACCTCCAGTTACAGGATGACAACCTTCTCTCCCTGTTTCCCAACTCTGTCCTGTGTTGTCACCTTGCTAAAAGGGCAAAAGTGTGACAAGGAAAAAAAGTGATCCGTATTCAATCTGTAATAAACCTGTGCAGCTCAGCAAGGGAGAATCACATATATGGATATATATGGATACCCTCGGATACCCGGGGGTTAAAAGCTGGAAAAGACACTACTGGCAGAGTCTCAGTGCAGCACTTCTCATGCTTATGTGGTATCTCACAAACATAAGAGTGCATACACATTTCTACTAAGACGTGATAACAGAATTATTGACTTTTTTCCACTTTCCTCCATTTCCTCCCAGTGACCCCCCAGGAAACGGATGTAAAATTTACCCCTTCTGGATCAGACCAAGTGCTGTGTTCTCTCATTATAAAGAGGTTTTATCCCAAAAACATAAATATTACATGGAGCAATGGAGAGCCCAACATTGGAATACATTCAACCAAGAAAATTATTCAGACCGAAGATGAGAAAACATTTGACGCTACAAGTGAGTGTATCATTCCCTGGAAGGATCTGAAGTCCTTGTTGCGTGTGACCTGGGAACATGAGTCATTACAGGAGCCTGGACACCGAGATCTGCGTATTACAGGTACTACAACCTTTATATCTACAACAATGTACACAACAACATAGATTCATTCATACTCCAGCAGTTCTAAAACATTATTATGTCAAAAACCAATATAACACTTCACTATCTAGCAGACTAGCACTTGTGGCAGGGCCTCGTATATAAAATTGTTAATAAAGTGTAAGTATCAACCTTTTTTAGGTTTTCTTTTAAGTTTTGGACAGAGCAGTGAAGTGTTAGATCCCCTGTAAGGTTTTTTACCTCTGCATGTGTTCCCACTGGGGAGATTCATCCTCTCTTTGACCATTGTCACTAAGACAGAAAGTGATGGGAAATCAAGATTTATCAGTTGTCATCAGAAAAAGTGACATCTGTCTACGAGTTGTCAGATTGCAGGATTGTGAACTGAAGCACCACACTCCATTTATTAGTCTTTATTGTACTTAGTATGGTAATAGCCAACACGTTATGGTGGCTCATACACATATCCCCTTCATCAGGACTTACTAAGGGAGAACGTGTATCAGGAGTGAGATGGCCTGGAATTGGATATCACTTTGTCCAGGGTGAGAGAGCTCTTCAGCAGCTGATTTGGCAGTCTTAGTAAGCCCTGATGAAGATGGTATTTGTAGAAGCTCCCGAAATGTGTTGGCTATTTATATATTGTCCCCTCCAACCTATATTCTATGAAGATGTATCGGGACTATTAAATGGTGTTGTACTTTCTGCAATTTGACACTATAAAATCACAGAGACACTGGAGATCCTCTGGGATGTAGTAGAGGCCTATCTGGTAGTCAGATCACCTATATTAACTCTATTACATTCTTACTGGCCAGCCACATCAATAGGACAAACCTTGTGGGGCAAGTGCTTTTAATTTATGCTTTTCCAACTCTATAAGGAGGGAATACACATCCAATATCCTGTTGTGACCGTACAACAGGAAGTAGAGGGACACAGTCGGCAGGGGAAAAAAACTTGCAGGGGTGTTTTCCCTTACATATTCTATCTAATAAACATAAAAATTTATAAATACACTTTTTGGCTATACGTACACTTTAAACAACCATTCCAGGCAAAATATGACCCATCAATGAAGCTTTTTAAGGGAAAAAAAACACTGTCAGCACTGCTTATCTCTGAAAAACAATAGTGAACACAAAGGGGGGGGGGGGGATTTATCATTGAAGTCATATATCCTGCGTCAATAAACCTGTTGCAAAAATCGACAATGGTGACTCGCACTCCAACTTGATGCGAAGTCAATACCTTTATTAACTGGGATAGTATCACATTTATAACGATGTTTCGGAACCAAGTGGCTCTTTCTTCAGTCAAACATAAAGTGAACACCAACAGTATAAGTGGAAATATATACACAACGGTGATGGCCATTAAACCAATCATGAAAGATCATACCACACCCTCTGACGCCTTGCTGACATCACATTCCCGCCATTCATGTGTAAACATAATACCACAAACCATATCAAATCTTCCATAAATTACTGTTAAAAGTACAATTAAAATACCTTAACAGGCTGTGAGGATATGATTTGTGCAGCACTCCATAAGAACGCCATGTTTCCCAAGTTTAGATAATATATACATTTTACCTGTTGATTCTGCTATCCCCTTATTTCATGTGCCAGGCCAACAATGGGGATCATCTGTTCTTCAAATGGCTGATTCCTCAAGTGTTGTTTAAGTAGCTCACTGCAGATGATTACATTCATTTTGTGATTGAGGGAAAATCTGAGCTGTATGGACCCATGTTAGGTCTACAGGGATTCGGATGAAAGGAGACGTGTTTGTTAAAATCTGATTACCTTCAATCCATCACAGTCAGTTTTTTCAAAGTGGAACTCTGTTTAATTTTTTTTCTGGACCTATACAGGGGTCAGGGGTAATCGGATGTAAACTGATGCATGTCCTTTTAAATCCAGCTGTCCAGTAGCATTGGGCTTCCGATCAGAACTGCCTGAAAAACTGACAGGCGGAATTGATTGGACCACCCGTGGTAAAGGGACCTTAGAGATACTGTATAGCAGCGTCTCTTCTGCCCTCAATCTGGGAGGTTAACTGGAAAAAAACACCTTCTTAAAAAATTCCTCTGGCCGCTCTGCTGAATGGTTGTTATAGCTTTAAAAACGTATAATCATTATAGGATCATTTTCATAATACATTACATTAAAGTTACATAATCACATGTCCTTGTGTCTGCTATAATGTTTGGCTCATTTGGGTGAATTATTTTGATTACTTTTCAGATCTTCCTTGGCGCCCCCAGATTGAAGAACTAAGTTCATCTGACCTAAAACTCAACACTGAATCCAAAATACAAGTAAAAATCTCTGGATATTTCCCTGAGGATCTGACTGTGGGCTGGTATAAGAAGAATAAGGGGACAGATGACCGTGTTCCTGTTGGTAATGACAATAAATACAAGACTGCAGTCATTGGACAACAAGGACAGTCAGATCACACCTACAGCGGTACAGCCAGTCTGATGTTCACCCCGACACTGCCAGAGGACCAGAGGTCAGAGTTCATGTGCAGAGTGCAGCACCCCAGTATGGAGGAGCCCATAGAGAGAAGTATAGGACCCCTACAAATCATGGGTAAGTACTCTACACTGACAATCCATTTATATTATATTGCTTGGATAGATAAGCTCACATAGAATTCAGAAAGTGATTTCAGTGAAAACATAAATGATTTTAAGCCTGCAGATGTATTTTATTTTAACAAACTGGCTTCCTAAATCCTGGAAATGTCCCAAACATATTACAATGTATGTCTGACACATAGACATTTACATTATAACATAAAGTATATTTTAAACCAAATCTTCTTCTTTTTAGCTGTGTGTAGAGTAGGGAATGGTTACAGTCCCTGTCAGGTTTGTTTGATGTACCATTGGGGGAGAACATTCTTCACTTTCAGTCCTGGAGCCTTCACAGGAAGTGGCAGGAAATTCCACCAAAGTTATGGCAAATCACCTCCTGGACAGTTGTCACCAGCACAAGTGTCCCTTTTGGAAAACTTGCTCTGTATTCCTGTTCCAGTGACAACTATAAAATGTTGGCTTTCCCATTATTGCAACAGAGACAATGATCAGCAGGACAAACAGAGAGAGGGTGACTCTTCCCAGTAGGGACAGAGACTGCAATAAAAACTAACAGAGGTTCTAAACCTTCACTGCTTTCTCCAAACCTAAAAAAAAAAGTTTTGTTTTTAAATACGTATTACTCTCACTTCATGTGTCTGTGATACTGATAACTGGTAATCTTCCTTGTATTTATGTCTAGTGACTCCGCAGGTGATAGAGCCTGTGAGATTCTCCCTCAGTGATTCAGGAGAGGTGAAGTGTTCCCTGACTCTGAAGAGATTCTACCCTCAGGATATTTCCATCACATGGAGCATGGGAGAAGCAGAAACCGAGCTGACGTCTGAAGGCACACCAGCCAATTCTGAGGATGATGGAACATTTGATGTTACAAGTGTGTGCACACTGCCCCAGGATCTCCGCTTTCCTGTGTATGTGATGTGGAATCATCATTCATTGAGACAACCTCAGAGGACCGTACTGAGGACATCAGGTAATACATGAACACAGCACAATATATCATTCTCCAGTACATGCTGCATTCTAACTAAAGTTTGCTCAGAGCTGGAAGTAATTGTCAGCAAATCTAATTTCCTAAAGTGAACCTGTAGAGTGATCGGCATTTACTTGTTCACTAC